ACGAATTCAAGATCTACGGCGACCTAATATTCAAAGAAAAGAATATTTTGATTAAAATTTATCTCCACAGGAAAATGTTGGAACACGTTTATTGCTTCCATCCAGGAGTTACAGCGTTAGCAGATGCAAACTGATGTTCTGACCTGGGCTGACAAATCTAATCCTGGATTATGTGTCAAACTGCGCAGCTTGTTATTCCCATGATGCGCTCCCGATAAAAGATCTAATGCTATCTGGCGTGCTAGACCGACCAGGGCAGAAAGTGGGAGGAGATCTATTTGGTGAAAACGGAGAAGATTACTTCATCACGGGCAATCATTACAGTGAGTATTTCGAGTGGGTATCTACTCAACACTACCACGGTACGGGATACCGGACAGACCGGTCTCTAACAATGGGTCGCAAGTTGCAGGCGCTGATTTCCTGATTTTCGCAACCAGATGGGTGTTTACGCATGGACAACTGATCCCGTGTCATAACCGGTCATATAGAAAAGTCTACGTTGCAGTAAAACAAGCTAAAAGGCTGTTATCAAAAGCCAGAGCCACTGGAGGGTGCATACCTGACGCTTCATAAGAACCGCAATACTCTACCGTCGGATATTAGTCTAAACCCAGTGCAGCGTATGCACTGCAGAAAGACAAGAATCCCGATGTCCGTATCGGCTACACATCTGCGTCCCGCTTTGTCACCACATGGACAACTGCGAAGACGTCTGCAACAGGAAATGATTACTTGAAGTGACACTGGGAGACAAAGTGTTGGTTCACCCTAATCGTTCTCCTGTCTACGCAGTATGCTGCCCACGCAATACAATGAATTTCACTTCAAACAAATTTCTGATGCTCTGGCCACCGCAGAGGATAACCAACCGTGCCCTATCTGCTGCATCGGGCAGGGTAGATAGGGGTTTGGATGCTACTGCTCAAGCCTTTCCATCTCCATCTCCCCCTCTTGCGGGTTTCACCCTTATCGTCCCGTTCCAGCTTCACTGTTATCCCCCTTGTTTTCAACCCCCCAATTCTCGGTCCTCCCCCACCTTGCTTCAATAGTCGCTTGTCTTTTAGTTTCAACTCGCATGCGAACGCAGAGCGTCATTCCTGCCCTGTCAACAGGCTCATGTCCAACCAAGCAGCCCATTCCAGTTCATCGGCTTCCATTTGGAGCCCTCGATCCTCCTTCAGATTGGCATGCCTCAATGTTCGCACATTGCTTCAGATCGGTCAACAGGCAGCACTTGCCCGAACATTAGAGACCCTCACAATCGATATCTGCTGCTTATCGGAGACCCGCCTGCAAGACTCGAGCTCTGTACTCACTCTGCGATCCCCTTCAGGTGACACTAGCAGCACTTTCTCATTAGGCCTATCCGGTGACGATGCAGCTTCGAGCACCGGCCAAGCTGGTGCTGGCATTGCCCTGAGTCCCCGGGCTGAAGCTGCTCTGGTTGATTGGATTCCAATCAGTAGCCGGATGTGTGTGGTCCGATTGGCTGGCTCATTTAAAACATCGAAGTTGCGTGGGACTAACAGGTGTCTATTCGTTATCGCTGCCTATGCACTGACAAACAGTAGCGATGACTCGGTAAAAGACGACTTCTATCGTCAACTGAAGGAGCTCCTTCGCCACAGAAGAAGCTCGGACATTGTTGCGCTGGCGGGGGATCTGAACGCACAATTTGGAATATTATCCACAGATGAGCTGCGTCTGGGCGGCCAATATGGTGTAGGCTCCCGTAATGATAACGGTGAGCGGTTACTTCATTTGTGTAAGGATGCTCGCTTATTTCTTGTGAGCACTAATTTCCGACACAGCACCCGCCGGAGGGTGACGTGGCGCCTACCAGCCTTATGCGCAAATCGATCACATTGCTATCAGTTACCGATGGAGAGATTGCATCCAGAACTGTCGCTCGATTTGGAGCACACGTGTGGACAACGATCATACACTTGTATGTGCTGACATGCGGATGCGTTTTGGCGGAAGCCCACGACGACGCTGTGAGCGCATTGACACCAGCCAACTGACAAAGCCAGCTTTTCTGAATGCGTATCAAAGTACGCTGTCATGCGGGTTGGATAAACACTCACTGGATGCAAATGAAGGTCACTGGTCTCATATTCACCATACCTTAGTAGCAACAGGCAAATCCTCGTGTGGCATGTCTAATAGCCAACATGGATATTGGGTCTCTTCACAGTCTCTGGAACTTATCGACACTTGCCGGCATATCCCGGCTGGAAGCGAACACAGTGAAACTCGCAGAGAGCTCCGGGCAAAACTGCGCGCTAGCCTGAAGAGAGACCGCGAATCCTGGTGGTCTCATCGTGCGTCAGAGATGGAAATGGCCGCTGCCCTTGGCAACCATCGTAAGTTTTTCCGTCTGATACGGAAAACGGTCAGCAGGAAACCTGGTGTTAGTGAAACAATTTGTGACGAGAGTGGACAGCCTATCCACAACCTATCAAAACGCTTAGAGCGTTGGGCTGGGCACTTTAAAAGGCAATTTAATCGGTCGGAATGGTTAGATTTCTCGCCGACCACTGATCGCCCCGCTCCCTGGGCTGTCCATTTGGATCCACCCTCTCGCTCAGAAGTCGAACGTGAGATCGGACTGATGAAGTTGAACAAAGCCGCGGGACCTGGTGATCTTCCTCCAGCCCTCTTCAAATTCGGGGGACCTGCTCTTGTGGATGATTTACACGAGTTACTAGTCAAACTGTGAGAACAGGAAACTGTCCCAACCGATTGGAGCCGCTCCGTCATAGTCCCAATTTTCAAGGGAGACTCACGATCGGAATGTGGCAGCCATAGAGGAATCAGTCTGATCACTATCGCCTCCAAATTACTCGCCTCTGTCATCCTTCACAGACTGACTGGCACTCATGAAAGCCAGATTCGTGAAGAGCAAGCTGTATTTCGTCGAGGTCGTGGCTGCATTGACCACATCTTCACCTTGCGTCAGTTGTTGGAGCACCGTCACATATATTGGCGGCCCACCGTTGTCGTGTTCCTCGATATCAAAGGTGCATTCGATTCGGTGGATAGACATGCACTTTGGAACTGTCTACTCAGGAAAGGTGTACCTGAGAAATATGTGAATATTATCCGAGCATTATATGCGCGTAGCTCGGGCAGAGTGAGGGCTTACGGCAAGTTGTCGCTACCCTTCAATATCTCCAGCGGCGTGAGACAAGGATGCCCGCTGTCACCTTTCCTCTTCAACTTCGCTGTTGATGAAGTCATGGAAATCGCGTTCACAGGACACGACTTTGAAGGTGTGGATCTGCTCCCAGGAGAACGACTTCTTGACTTAGAGTATGCTGATGATATTGTCCTAATCTGTGACAGCTCACAAACGTGTCAAGCGGCACTGGACAGATTAGCACTAGCTGTCCGTCACTTCGGGCTTTGCTTCGCGCTTTGGAAGTGCAAAGCGTTCCTCCAAGATTGGTCTGGACCGCCTCCTACGCTGACCGTTAGTGGGGATCAGCTAGAAGTCGTTCAAAATTCAACTACCTGGGAAGTTGTATCAGCGCCCGTGGGATTGAGGATGAGATCACGAACCGTATAGCAAAAGCTCGGGGCGCTTTTGCTAACCTTCGCCACTTATGGCGCCGACGCGACATCACACTTGCACTGAAGGGTAGAGTGTACAATGCAGCGGTACGTTCGACCTTACTGTACGGTTGTGAAACCTGGCCGCTTAAAGCAGCGGACCTGAAGAGGCTAGTTACGTTCGACCATCGGTGCCTTCGCAATTTAGCTCACATCTGGTGGGAACACCGCGTGAGCAACGAGCGTGTTCGACGCCTTGTTTACGGCACAGAAAAAGAAACTGAACCGCTCAGCACCGTCATTTCACGCACCAGGCTCCGATGGCTGGGCCACGTGTTACGCATGCCAGCCCACCGACTCCCGCGACGTGCGTTGTTTGCGCGCCGAGGGTGTGGATGGAAGAAGAGAAGGGGTGGCCAAGCGATGACTTGGTCGAGAGGAATGAAGGCCCTCACTTCTGAGCTGGCCTCGGTTGGAGCGTCTCGGCTCCCTGGTTGGGGTCCGAAAGACGATGAACACGTTTGGTTGGACACACTTGCTGATATGGCTAGGAGCCGACCTCAGTGGCGTTCGTGCTGTGAGTTTCTTTGTCCCACCCCATCCCTCTTAGCCTCCCCCTCCAACCACGATCTCATTATTTAGCTTTATATAATTTCGCATAGTATTTTTTGATGCACAGTAGCCGACTGGTAGCTTACCGGAACGATGCCCATCCGTTACCGGTAGCTCAGCCGGCTTACACCAGTTGCTTTTTTTCTCCTTTTTCTGTGTATTGCGGCACAGTAGCTGAGGTGTTCCCCACCTCTGGCTAACGTGTATGATGATGATGATGAAAGTGTCCACAATCAGTGGAAGAAACGCACGGTGACCGGGAAGGATTAGGAAAAATGCTATCAAGTCAGCATTAGGAATATAGAAGAAACCGAGTGAGGTTAAAAGGGAAAGGGAGAAAAAGTTGAACTAGACATGAGGTATTCTGCAGCGAGTTTCATTGCATTCACAACAACAGGGCCACCAAAGGCAAAAATGAGCGACAAAACCTATGCTGTGTGCGGATAGGCGGAGTGAAGGGCATGTAAAATGGAGGAGGCGATAGGGGGTGGTGTATCGGATAGAAGAGGTATATTAGTGAGACCTACAATGCAGTGGATCAGATGCGTACCGAACGGCCTCGACAATTGGCCGCAACAAGCTCCGCTAATTGGAGGACGGTTGTCGAGTTTGGTTTAAATGGAGTAAATAGGGAACAATACTGATGGTGGAACAATATATATGAAAACGTTGTGTTAACGAGCTGTGTTGCATTTTCCTCTAATAAACGTTTGTCCCTAAAATATTGGGTTTAACGACAAGGTGAGTGATGACGCGAGCAGTAAAGTGAACCGATAATGAGATAAAACTGTTTCGCGGCGAAAGATATTCGTATCCATCCAATGACTCACCTGACTGCAAGCACAGCTGACAATTCGTTTCACCTGAAGTGTCTGCTCCCGAAGCTTGTAGTCCGAAAGTAATGGGTACAACAGGGCGGCCGATTGCTCACATAGCTGCCTAGCCTCAGAAAGAGTGGGGGTAGGCCAGGATAACTGAGTAGACAGAGAAAGAACCAAACAATCGGTAAAATAGCATAGACTTGAAAAATCAAGAGTGATGATGGTTGTGAAAGCTGTGTCTAGGTATCGTTCTCTTAGACTTAATCAACTACCTTCATCAGTGACATCGTAGTTCATCGGTTCAGTCCTGATCAATATTCGGCCCAAAATTGCACTTTTATCAACTAAGTTCTACAAAGTAACCGCCTGAATCTGATGGGTGTCGCTGAAAACCATTATTCAACCAGTGCTTGCATTTCACTCTGAAGGATGGGTAGACAAGCAAAAAAGGTCACCAATGAAAGTACTGCATGAGAGCATAAATACGATACAACGAATAGGCAACGTTCTCATAAAGGAACACATTAGTGGTCAATCTTGAAATCCTCAGACCGCGTTCAGAGTATGTAAACAGAGTACTGGGGAAATAATTCAAAGAAAGTGGGTCGATGGTTGTTTGTAGGACTACCTGGTCAAGACCAGGAACTCCGTCTACATGAGTCAGTCGTGAAAGCAGCTACTTCTTGTGACGGAACAGAAGAGCAGATGTATACCAAGGCCCTGGATGACTGAGGAAGTTCAGTCAGTTCACCTTATCGAATAACACCTCTTGAACAGTAAGAAATGAGAAAACAAACACGAATAACAAGCAGCGATGAAGATGAATGTCGTCAGTTACCTTCAAAATAGGAGGTCCAATTGACTTTAAAGTTTGTGAGAACGTTTCCGGTGCATCACGCTTTGCACTAATCGCATCTTCCTTTGTACTTAGAGGCTGACCTAAAGCGAGGGCTTCAGCAGCGGCTAAACAGCGAGTAGCCTGGGATTCCAATCTGTCTAGAACGCTTTTAAGTTGAGAATTTGTGTCCACGGATATGTCTTCCAGTACAGACGAGGGAAGTATAACTGCTGTGAGAGCCCTCGCTTCTATTTCTTCTATTTCATCCGCTAGAGCTACCCATTCTCCTGAGAAATAAAACAAATCAACAGATAAAGTTTAGAGAACGCACAGCTGTGTCCAACGAATGATTATCAATATAATCCAGAGAAGTAGTAGGGATTTTGTAAAGATTCGTCTCGGCTAGACTGAGCAACCATACATCCTAGATGCGTGGTGGCTCAGTCTAGTTGCGACGAATCTTCACATAATCCATACTACAGTGACAAAAATGAAACATGCCCAATAGGTTTGGTGGAATATACTGTGGTGTGACAGTATAGTGGCGTATCTCGAGCAGATATGGACTGTAACCACATATAACGGCGGGGAGCTGTCTGTGGTATGAGTGACTCTATAAACACTTCAGAAGTGTTATTCCGGGTAACCCGGCTGAATAGGAAGGTGCAATTACCATTGCATCATGTTCAGATTCAGGCACAATGCGATAGATGGGGTGGTTAAATGACAGTTACTTAGGCTGATATCATTCGCGAACCGAAGGTAAAACGCGGGGATTACCAACAGCACACTTCCGGTGTACGCAATGGCACTTATCAAAGCGCGCAATGCTGATGATAGTATTACGCATATCTTGCATCCCCACTTCACTTGGGCTGAGTTGATCTAACTCAATATGCATGTAGCTACTCATGTTGTTTTCTAAACATACATTTATTGTCGGAACTTCCGTTGACTAATGTTCTTAGCTTTCCGAAGCTACACATTTCGATAATGTGTTGTTCAGTTCTCTCCAATTCTTGCCGTTGGAACACTTTTGCCCAGAGAGAGAGATAGAGAGATCGAGACGATCCATCTTGTTTCAGTAAACAGGCCCGTGTAGATGAACTCGCGGGCACCACCTCATTAACGCAGTCAGAAAAGGGTTAGCTCACTTGAAAATCCCACCCACGCTATCGGGAGTCCATTTGTAAGCTGATCATTGTCTGACAAGTGCAATTCTGTATGAGGCCTTGGGAATTGTCAAAGCGTAGAACACGTATGCCGAGTGCCGTTCATTGTTCGGCAGCAGAGTAACACTTGGCATATCTTGTACGCGCGTCATCAGATCATGGTGCCAACAAAGGTGCAAGTTTCGGTTACATGTTAAGTTAGCATGTCTGTTAGATTTGGGTGTATCGGGCACATCTCACAACGAAGCCAATAAAGTGTGTGGTCTATGTGTGTGTGTATACCCCAGTTAACTGTGTTGGTCATGAACTCCCTGAATGGCGCAACTGACATGTTTTTACTAGTTAGGAAGTAATTTACAACCACTCCAAGCTGGTGGATATGTTGGGAATCAGAGAATTGCCTCAATTAGCTACGTACGCAGCAGCGACACCAGTGTGAGAATGCAGAAGTAGGGGCTCAATGAGGTGTGTGCCAAGTTTGCCGCGGCAGTTGAGGATAACGCGTGTGGGATGTTTATCCCCCAGTGACAATTTCACCATGGCTGGGGATGAGGCGGACCTTGGTAGGGTGCTTACTCGTTTGGTTCTACCACTTACAGTAACAACTGAAAGACTGTACATTTTCCAGTACGAGCAACATCCGTCCACACAGTGGACAAGGTTGTGGAGGCGCGTGCGATAGGTCGCCGAAGGATAAGAAAGAATCACGAAACACTCCTGAATGTGAGACCGCCGCAGCATCTAAGCTCGCCCAAAACTTGCTGTAAAGATGATGATAGAGGTCAAAAACCGGAAAGCCATTGTTGCCCCGTAACCCAATAGATATTCGATAAATAACAGGGAGGATCAAACTTTCCTCCGATTTTAGTTTGTAAACATCGCTGGGTAATCTCTCTTCCATAGAAGTAACGGCATTCCAGGCTGTCTAAGCCTATCGTTAATACCGCATCCCCAACCTTTCGTAATTGTCATCCCCTGAAGACCGTAGCATGAAGCAGCATTCATCGTGATGCAATTCTGCTTATACGGTCGATTGTTAAAACACCAGAATAGAAGCAGCACACCTACATCTGACGACATGACGATGGTGGACTACACGGTACCATAGATAAAAGCCAACAAGGCCGGAGACCAATTGGTATTGAGATGGTAAATTACGCGATTAAATAGCATGCAGACCATAGGTGTAGCGGAGTCTGGTAAGGTACCTGAGACGATAACATCCAGATGTGCGTCTGTTGTTTTGTTGTACAGATGCTAGTAGCTTAGTTCAAGATGTTACGTGAAAGTTGGGAGGCAAGAGAAAAAAAGAGGATTTAATGTAAGCATTCTTTGAAAAATATCAACGAAAATTCAGACTGCGTACCGGGCAGTGACTTTCGGGTATTCAATCAGGATCCTGTATGAATCACAGGAAATACATATGTTTAGCAACCCAAAAAGGTCAGACAAAAAATTTACGTAGTAGGGGTTAAGTCGTAAAGGTGCCGAGTCGGACTGAATATTGCTTAGAATGTTTAGTTTAACGGCGGAATCGATAAAGCACGATGTCACTGAAAGTGATATATTAAGTGCAAGCAAAAGGTTCCTAGATACATTATTTTCCCAATCAATCAAAGGTTAACAGGGGTAAAAATCTAATCGAATGTACTTCAAGTAAAGCTAAAAGTAACGAGCGTGCTAATTGCTTCTGTACGCAGAGCTCCGGCTTGAGGTGCCGGATATAGATAGCTTTCGCAATGGATAGATGTTTTCGGAATCCGCGCAAGAATCGCTCAGGAATGAAACAGAGCCTGCATGATCGTAAGCAAGAAGATGCAACATGATGGAGCTATTAGAAGACGCAGCTTCACCTCTGTAAAATCGCTTCGAGATGTGCTCACGAATCTTTTGAGATTAGCGCTCCGTAGTACAAACCACGCATCGAGTAACATAGACGCGTTCGTCGTCGTTAAGACCCCAGCCCGGCAAATTTCGAAGTGGGGGTCCGCATTCTTCTAGGCCAATATTTACCGAAAACGATTCTTAACTCAGCACTATGACTCGTTAGTAAATGGGAATTATTGGTTGCTAAAGTTAAGCATTCTCAGTGATCCATACAAAATGGAGAGTCTATTTGAAGCAATATGAAGACAGGTAGAGAGATTAAAAAGACACAAAAACGCTGAACAATACCTTGAAGATGGAGATTCTTAGTGCCCAGCTCATATAATCGAATACGATGAGAACAGATCCTTTCAATCAAATCCTCGAAAAATTCAGGAGCTGGTGGATGAACAATCTGCACCGATGATGCTAGGTCCGCAACCATGTCCGATCTTGAAGCATGAGAATGAGCCTCAGCGGTTTGCTCAGTAGCAAGCTTGCAGGTTTGTGTGTTTGTGTTGCAAGACAACCGGTGTAAGAGATCGTTAAGCGCCTCACTAGAATCTTGCACAGACTCATGGATTGAACGGCGGGCACGCATGAGCTTTCGTTCAAAGCAATTGGCGGCATCATTGTTCAGAATTAACGCCCGTTGCCAAGAGAAGTTAAAATCTGTGATAGGCTCTATCATGAGCTCAGATGAGGCAGGGGCTGAAAAGAATAAAGAAATATAAAAATCCAGCAGTTCGTCAGTACACTTGTAAAAACATAAAAGACGCCTTCAGTGGCTGTAATGCGTCGTTTTTGGTACATCTTTATTGTGTCTTTGATTACGCCTCAGACTGTCAAAAACTCCAGGGGAATAACTTAAACATGTCAAATATCTCCTTGATAACGCGTTCTGCCACTCAGCTTTATCAGCCTCAACTTGCGAATCTATCTACTGGGATGGACATAAGAATTCAGAAACCAATTAGAGGCAGTAACAGACTGGATCTATCATTTATTCCAGACATCAATGATGCCTGTATAAACGTGCTATCTTTCCAGGTACTGATCGTAATGTGGTATGTGTCAGTTTTGGCTGAGTTGAACAACCTCCGTGTGGTGCCAGCTGGGTGGTTCGGGATTATCCCGTTCCTGCCAATGGTACGGAGGTTGTGTTCCAGGACGTTTTCGCCTGCAAGTGTTCTAATAAAATGTCACATATATCGGTTTAACAATGAGCTATGAATCGCTACAAATGAAGTCACTGCCCCTTGTTTCACTCCGGTGGAGCACTCTAATGCAGCACTCTCCCGCTGAAATCATGGGGAGGGTTGGGCCCTGTTTGGTAACCGACTAAACGAAGGTTGTATGAACCGGGCGATAGGTGACCCCCTCCCAATGGGTGCGATTACCTGAATTCACCCCGCTGCTTTGCGAGCAGACTATTTAGCCAGAGGCTCGGGGTAGTGTCCCCTAAGTCAACTGCATACTTCACGTTCATTTGTTGACAATCCTTGCTACCCGTTACCTGGTTCCTGTGTTCACGAATCCCAATGCGTCTCTGCAATCACACTCCCGAGATGGACTTACTCCTCACTGCTTTAAGTCAGGCTATCGAGCTAAAGGTACCAGGCGAAGTCCCCCAAGCGAACCTCCATATATTCCACTGCTTTGTGGAATAGGCTATTGAACCAAAGGCTCCGAGTGGAGTCCCTCAAGCTCTATGTACGCAACTACCTTGTGCGTGAGACAGTTGATTCAAAGCCTCGAGATAGGGCACCTCGAACAGAACCCTCCTCTCGGAATGGGAACCGGAGAGCATCATTTGTTCTCTAGACCACGTCGACAATACTCTTTTCTCTTTACTCTCCTCTCTTTTTCCCAGTCTTCTGAGCAAGAATCTGCCACTGATCTAGTAGCCTCTGCCAGCGATACCGGTAACACGTCCACTGAACCACGAGTCTCGTATTGGTTCTTTTAACTAGCTGACTCTGGGTCATATCGGTCAACAAGCATCACTGACTCGCACTCTCTTGGTATGGATGTGTGCTGTGTTTCCGAAACACGCATACAAAACAACAGCGTCGTGACAAAACGTTGACTCCTTGGTTCTGAATCTGACGGCAATGGCTACACACTTGTCATCACTGGCGATAATGATTCAATGGATCAGGGTATTTACGGTGTTGGTATTGCCCTCAGCAAACATGCTAAAGGCAATGTGCTACACTGGATACTGCTGAACGGCCGCATGCGTGCGATTCGACTTTGAACCTCTACTGGAGTTAATAAGCAGCGTCCGAAGACAAGGCGCCTTTCGTCACCTCAATTTATGCCCCCACTGAATGCAGTTCAGAGGGTATCAAGGACGATTTCTATCAACAGCTGTTATCTATTCTTCGCACTGCGAAGAATACTGACATCTTGATTGTTGTTTATGAGATGGATGCCCAAGTGGAAGGTTTTTAAGACAATGAACAACACCTCGGTATCCTCTTTGGAGTCTATGCGCACTAAACAGACAAGAGGGATCGAGTCCCGCGACGGTGTGCCGACCACGACTTTTACCTTAGCAGCAATGCTTTCCAACACAAACGTTCACACCGCGTCATTTGGCGCCCATAAAACTCCTCTATGACCTCGACCCAAATTGACCATATTGCCATCAGCTATGGATGACGCACAACAGTCCAAGACAGTTGATCAATTTGGAGCATGTGCCGGGATTCCGACTATGCTCTAGTGCATGCACGCCTAGCTCACACTATTCCGGCCGGTGGCCGAGTGGTCTGCACGTTTGCTTTGCAACCATAAGGTCACCGGTTCGAATCCGCGTAGGGGTGGGTGTCCTCGCGGTATACTCAGCCCGCGCGCGACTGGTGGTGGTCGCGCGGCAGCGAAGCGCCGTTACGGCGTACAGCTGACACATTATTATTATTATTTATTATTCCTAACTTTACCTGTAAATTGAGCTCGCAATCTGCAGTTCAACACCATCAGGACGAAGAAGCCTACCAATTATCAGTGATGATGAGATTAGTGGACCTAACGCTGAGTTGGATCGTCTCAAATGTGCCATGAAGAGTGTCTTTGATATCTGCAGTGCACCCAACTTGAGATTTCGTAACTATGAGTGGATCTCTGAGGCATCGATCAGCTTGATCGAAGCACATAAACGGGTCCCGATTGGCACTGTTTTAGCGTGCCCGTAATCCTCAGAAACGACGTCTGACAAGGAGTCTTCGAATCGAACGCAAACGTTGGTGGATGGCAAGCGACCGTGAGATGGAGATAGCTGATTGACATACCACATCACCCGGAATACGGGTCCGAGAAAGCCATCAGTTAGCGAGACAACAGCACAGAAAGACGGACAGCTGATCCATTCTCAGCCTCTTCGATCAACCTGTTGGGTGGATCATTTTAAAGAGCAGTTCATCAGGTCTGCTGCGATATTATCCCTTTCTGAATCTACTGAGTCGATATGGGAAGATGTCACACCTCCCAGTTTGGAAGAGATACGACATGAGATTTCCTTATTAAAATGAGAAAAGTCTCCTGGACCCGACGATGGAAGTCACCTTTGTTGGCTGGACGCGCTTCTCTATTTAACACAAGTTGGAACACTGAAGAGGTGCCTTTGGGTTGGCGACTATCAATTGTCGTGTCCATTCTCAAGGGCCAGCGTACTTTGTGCGAATATCATCGAGCCTTGTTTTGTTGCCTCCGAGTTTCATCATTCTCCGATGAAATACTGGTCCCCGTGAGAACCGAATCACGGAAAGCTGGGTTCCGTCCTGGTCTTGGTTGTATTGATCATACATTCACTCTTCATCAAGCTTTAGAGCCCAGAGACATATGCGAACGGCCAACTATAGTGGTTTTCCTTGACTTGAAAGCCGGCTTCAATTCTGTTAACCACGCCAGCTTGTAGCAACGAGACTTCTGTCGCAACGAGACTGGACCTTAACGTGGTGCGACGGTTTGCGTACCTCATTGACCCATTGAGCTATACTGGGTGATGCCTCCGAGCATCTTGAGAACTACTCCTACCAGGTTGGTCAATGGTAAGAGGTCAGACAAACTCAGTCTCCTGGTCCTCTAGGTTGGGGGTTTGAAATGGGATGGCGTCCATTTCTGTGAAACTAAATCATTGTCACCTCC